GACTTTAAGTTCCTGGCCGTCTTCCCATTGGCTCAAATGGAAACATGGTTCTAGTCAATCACTCGATCAATACTTTGCTCGAGAGACGTTTGCCCAGAATATACGTGCGAAAACTCCATGGGCACTAGATTCAACCTAAATTTCCGAAAATTTAGAAACAGGGACAAATGAGACGGACCAGTTTTCCAAAATACCAAAAGTTTTCAAGTCAAATCAATATATTTTGAACCTCTTGTACGCGACTACCTCTCGTACGCGACCGCGACCACTTTTAGAGCTAAAAGTTTGAAATTTTCTTTTTTTTTTTAACCTCCCGTGAGCGACCACTTGAGAGCGTAAATTGGAAAAAAAGTGTTGTAGCATTATCGCATTCCTGGGTAGTACAAGAGACGGAAATTGTTTCAATGGGAAGCACCGGATGTTTTCGAAATTGACTTTTCACATGAATAAAGCATTTAAAACATGTCTCTTCAGTTACCATATGCTAACGAGGCAAAATTTTGACCCAATATGGTCTAAACTCTCGTAAGCGACCACTTCTTGTAAGCGACTACCTAGGCTTGACATTTTGGGTGGTCGCTTACGGGAGGTTCGACTGTATATCATATATAATATGAACTACAAGATAACTAACTGCAATCGAGGTCATACTCTAGCTAAACTTTCATCAAAGCAAGTCTCGCCCATAACGAACATACCTTGAAGATAATCATACAGAACCTCCCTGGGAGGGTAAGATGGTATTGCCTTTTTGTAATGATCTTCAAAAGTGTAGTCTGGATATTCTAAACATTCTTTGGGGCCATTAGACCACAAGCCGCGGTACATACTGCCGTGCACATATTCACCATGTTGATCGATACCTAAAAAAGCAAGGGTAGTCATGATTTAATTCATTAAAAAAAAACACAAGGTACACAGTTGCCTGTCTGGACCTGTCTGATTTGCCTCTTACCTTGCCTGCCTCTTACCTTGTGCCTCTTACCTTGTGTTTGAAAATGGTCCCTTAGTGACAGTTCTCAGAATTAGCCTGCATGGCAAGCGTTCCTGTACGAACGAAGAGCTTTTAATTTTCCACATTTTGGCCGCGCGAACATTGAAGCGAGAGCATGGAAATCGACATAGCAGGGCGTGGTCTGACGACCTACCAACCCCGATGTTCTTCTCTCACCCAATTTTTGCCACGGAACGCTTGCTTCGCAGGTTATCTCAGAATTTTAAAAGTTACTGAGTAAATGAAACGTTTTACGTGTCTAGTCCTAAATATACAGCAGAATTTTAGAGTGATTGAAACACGAAAACTGAAAAAAAGAAAATACTCACCAGTCTCCCAGGAGTATTTCCAGAGTCCTCCCCAGTCAGATTGCTTGTCAAAGCACACGATTTCTGGTACTTCTTTTCCTTGCGCTTTAAGTTGATGAAAGTGATATAACACTGACATGCCACTTGCACCAGCGCCAATCACACAAACACGCTTTGCAGTTGCTTGAGACATCTTGGATTTTAGAAGTGTTCACCTGGATGAAAGAAAAACAAAACATAATTGCACATGCCTTGACATTTCCATGGCAACCATGTTTTGACAGGTTGGTCTCTTTTGGATTCGATTTTTCTTAATTTAACTTAACGTCTTTACGGCTGAGGCGTTCTCATATTGAGAGGCAGGGTAGCCGATTGGTTAGGACGCCTGAGTTGAAATCCGAAGGTCTCGGGTTCAAGTCCCGCTCTGACCATTAGGATGGAGTTTCCTCTGTAAACCCTGAAAATGTTTATATTGGTCAATGCGCTTAGCTACACCTGGCTAGTTCAAAAACAATTTTCACAATCAACACAATCAAGTGCAATATTACGGAATTCAATATTGTTGTGATGTGATATTCTCTCTTCGTACTGTATCGTTCTCTGTCCCCTTGTGCGACAAGTTCTTTTCACAACACGGCGACACGACCAGCAGTTAACTCTAAGGTCAGATATTACCCATCTGACACTCGAATCAAACTTTTGTGATTACGAAATCGATTGCCATAAGTTATTAACAAGCTTAGATTTGAGTGCCCCTCACAGAAAGCTCGTGTGTTATTAGTAATACAAATATTTCACAATCTTAATATCTTGGTCAATCACATTAGTTTGACCCTTTTCACCCAAATTTTTGTCACAGTGCCAAACGACACTAACACAAAGACGCGAAACTTCAAATCAAGATCTGCGCCTCCGGCACTCGTAGAATGTAATTTTGATTTCAACAGAGGGTAGACTTCGCACAAGGCCTGCTAAGCGTGTTCCTTTTCACAGGGCATTTTCAGTTGAAACAAAGATTCAAGATAAATGTGGCTGAGGAAACAGTAATTCAAACCTGCAGTATAAGGCGTTTATCTGATCTTTACGAGCACCTGCATTTTCCTCGGTCTCCACAAAGAGTAACTATATTGTTTTAAGACTGGGGCACTCTTTTGAACTGTCATCTATTGTTTTAAAAGGCAATGGTATGAACTGGTGAACGGATTAATTGACTTCCACAAAGCCAAGCGTTAGAGTAACATCAGGGTTCACAACCCTATTGCTGTAAAACGTTTGATCGCAATTGCAGATTTATTTGTGACTTATAGGGACAACTTTTACACACGTATACCGATGAATTGTGCCAGAAATTATGGAGCTGAATACAAAAAAAAAATGTGAAAGAAGGCTTAGCCGTAAAGTGGGGCTGTGGTTGAGAAATTCTCACGCTGTACGGTTTTGCCTCGATTGAATACTTTTAAAAGTTATAACTCAAACCCGGAACTTAAACAAAATTTATTTCATGTTCGACAAATTTCGAGAAAAGAAGAATGTACATGCCACAAGCCAAATCAGACAAAAAACCTTTGTAATTCCGTGCGTTTTTACAGCGAATTGATATTTATCTCAGTGAGTCATATTACCGAAATCAACTCTTGCTTACAAGTTGACACTCCAATGCAAAGGTGATTAAAGAGATGTTCGCGTAGAGGAAAAAAATCGCTGTTTCAGGCAAATATCTCACTATTCTTAGAGGCAATTAATAAGCTTTGAATGAATTCGATTACGAGTTCAGGGTAAATCCAATATTTTCAGGATCGACCGGCAGTTACATCTTGTAAACTGTAGACAGCAATGAAGATCAACCTCTAATTGACCTCACAATTTTTTGTCACGATGAATCCACAACATGGCACTTTTATTTCCAGATTTTCGGCTACCTTTACAGCTGCAAATCGATATCCTGAAATGGTGCGCTTTTTGGGCAACCATTTTGTCTTTTGGCTGGGAAAACTTCTCTTTTAATTTTGCCAATTCTGACAATGATGTGAATTGGAACTTCAATTGGTGTGTCACGTTTAACAACATTAGGCACCTGTTTCTTAGCGGCTTGCATAGTCTCTAGCGTAATGTTACTCTTGCTATCGAGGTGGGAATTGCGCAGTTTCCATGCAAACAAATTTCCCGCCAACATGGAACTAAATGAAGAGGTACTAAGAATCCTTCGATTCCTCCTAAACCGGTGGATACCATGCGTGCAAGCACACCTTAAGTCTTACGCAATAATGGCAAATTACGATTTCGGTTGAGGCATTGATCAGTTTTAGGATATATGCCATCTTAATATCACCTTCTCTTGACTGACCGGACCGGAAATAGTTTCCTTTGGTGACTGAAATGCACAGATCTTCGTTTCAAACTGCATACCAGCATGCACGCACAGAGAGGGGCCGATTGATCTGAATACTGAACTTAATGTGAGCACAATATGACGGGACACAGACTGCATTCATTGGCTCACGAACGAATATGAATGGAGATTCATGCAGGCATCTTGTTATTGGATAGCTAAACAATTGAATAACTGTACTTCGAGCTACCATTCTGGGTTGCATTTTGCACTGTAGGCTAGCGAGGCATTGTGCAGCTATGCAGCTGCAAGTTGAATTAATCCAGGGGGCCTTCAGGTGAAAAACCTGAAGCTACAGACCTACCTCTTGCAGCGCACGAGGATGGTAAAAAATTTGCTAACTAAGATGTATGGAATAAAGCTCAACTCACGGGGCTCAGAGAAGTCCAGTTTAACTGCACGCGTTCAATTCCTACCGCAGAGCACGAGCTTGTTGCCGAAAAGGATGTTATTTGATCCGTGTACCCCTACAATGAAATCCCATCCATGGGTGAACTCAAGACTACAAAGCGGGGGGAGGGGGAGTTCGGTGACTAAGTAAGAGTGATGAGGTCTCTGTGAATCGGAGGTTTTTTTTAATAATGTGAAATTGTCTGTTCTTTTACCTTATTTGAGTAGGGTTTAATCACAGCTTCATTTGTACCTCTCCGCCTTTGAAAATCTCTTTCCCCACCCCCTCCCCCCACCCCTCGGGCACAGCGAATTGATACTTCGATTTCGTGATCGCGCTTCTCCTTAACTGTCAGTCTACCTGTCCCGATCCCAGCTTGGAGGTTTCTCTGTGTATTTCGTAATCGGGTCAAACGTTATCTCACTCGAGAACAATAGTGATGTCTGACCTCTGAACTCGACTGTAATCTTCAAAGGTTCTATGGCGGCTTGTAGGCTATTTTTGGTCGAACAATCTCTGTAGCATAGCTCGATAACCAAAAACTGAATCAACTGCAAACTTTCGTGTTGTTTTAACTTTCTGTGACAATACGCTGCGAGATTGCAATCAAACATTTTTATTAGCTTATCTGCGTTTCATTTTTGAAACAGCTTCCCAAGCCTCGACAAACTGTTTCGTGTCAACTCTTTTATCTTAGAATAAACATTATAGTTTTGACTATCAATAACGCATTATGTTTTGTGATCTTTCCTGATTGCTCTACAAAAAAATAAACAAAAAGCAAACAAAATAAACACACCCGAAAACTAAAAGATTCTTAAAACGAGACAAACTAACTTCCGAGTTAGGATTTCGAGTTGGATTTCGAGTTGGATTTTCGAGTTAGGATTTCGAGTTGTATTTTCGAGTAAGGATGTAGAGTCGGTTTTTTTTTACTAGTAAT